TCCTCAACGCGGACGTCCGGTCTTCTCCATAGCGACGAAACAGCGCGGTTAGGCCGCAAGCAAAAGCCCGTAAAATCACCGCGTAAGAGATTTTTCGCCAACATTTTCCATCGATGCGATGGCGAGTCTCGGCAACCGTTTCGGCCGTCGAGAATTTCAGCGGAATCGTTTCATAACCGATGGCCGCCTGCCCAATGTCTCATTGATTGGCAATGATAATAAAACGTACCGTAAAGGAAACGACAGTCGAGTTCCTAGGTCGTTTGGCATTGTGGCCACTGGTAGCAGCCATTCTTGCACTCCCTTGCCTCTCCCCTCTCGACCATCAGCTCCCACTCCCTCCCCCCACACTCACACCGAGCTTTTCCTCTCGCGCTCTACTACACGGTATATGCGTATTTCAGAACGGCAATATTAATAACCTTTGTTTCGTTTGTAGCGCGCTATTTATAGGAAAATTCAATAATCGCGTGGCATGAACGCGTACCTCGACGAATGCGAAACCGGCACCGGGAGATTCGATTCCCCTCGTGCTGCGTGAATTTCATCGTGAAAAAAAAAGAGGAGACAAAACAAATAAATGAATGAATGAATGAATGAATAAATAAAAAAAAGAGAGAGAGAGAGAGAGAGAAAGAGAGGGAGGGGAAAAAAGGGGCAGCAAAGAGGTGCGATTATCTCTGAAACGTGTAGAAATTTTAAAAAGCAACGAACGACCTCGTGCACGGGAAAGAGCAAGAAACCGCACATAGCAACAACCATTCGGTTCGGGCTACGCGAGATATTTCTACATCGGGTAAAACCTACTCTTCCCCGCGGAGATGGCGAAACGCAATTTTCATTTCTTCTCCCTTTGATCGTCCCTCGATGCGTCCCGTGATTTGTAAAAGTCGAATCTACGGAGAAGATTCGACGTATGTATCAAGGACGACGGAACGCGCTGGATGACAATCAACCGCCGTCGGTGAATCACAAACGAGAGAAAAGAGGGAGGGAGAGAGAGAGAGAGAGATTGCAACGACAGAACGATGGAAAGGAGCAACGTGCTATTTCAGACTGTGTACGTGAGAGAATGGTCATGCGCGTAATGCAACGACTGTGGCGGAACTTTTTCTCGTCGAAAAGACGAGAAACATCGTAGAAACACGAGAGATATTCCTCGCCACGCAACGTTACTCTGGTCGGACGCGCGCCTCGAGTCGTTGCATCGCTCAGAGTTGGTTCATCGTTTGCCCTGCATCAGTGCACCGAGCAGCGAAAGTTCTTTTGTTTACCTGAGAATCACCATCTCATGCACTTGCATGAGCTCTTTTTACGAAATCATATTTTTGCGCGTAAGGACAAACGTGTTACACACGTTTAGCGAGAATGCGTAATATATATGTACACACACACACACGCGCGCGTGTCATCGAGCGTTAACCTCACTTTTGGTCAACACTTAGTCGAGAAGTTTCGTTTGAAAGAAACCGAAGTGTACCGGATAATCGTTATTCAGCGGAGTAGGGAGCAAAAAAACGCGCGAAACGCAGCTGATTGTAAGCGATACCGAGAGAGCCAGTAAATAGAAACATGCTGAAGCCATTACAGAACTAAGCCAGTTACAGTAGTTGCAGCCAGGTACTGCAAAAACCTACTATGCCTGGATCACGTTTAAATCCGTGAAAAATCAAAGTGCGCGTATTTTCGGCTTCGAACTTTCGTGCCCCACGTACGCAAAAATTGCCTGCAACAATTGTTGGTTGCAATGTTAGTGTTAATTAAGCACGTAACGCTAGCGAAGAGTATTCAGCATGGCGGCTGATTGAAATCGACTATAACCTAATTTCGTACACACGCCGAATGGAACTTCTGCTTTGTGCTTTGATTTTTTCCTTATTTTTGTATATTTCTAACACGAATAAAGAAATTATTTGTTTTCGTCGTATAGTGTATTTTCTGGTTTCAAAATTTATCGTACGTACGCAATAAAAAAAATTTCAAGCCCTCAAAGAGTTAAAAAATACATATTATAGTTTCTCACGTTTCACGTATCTTCCAAACTAATGTTAACAAGAAATATGTAACATGGCGGCTGATTGAAATCGACTATAACCTAATTTGGTGCACACGCCGAATGCAACTTCCGCTTTGTGCTTTGACTTTTTCCTTATTTTTGTGAATTTCTAACACGAATAAAGTTTTTTCTTTTTTTTTTTTATTGTACGATGTATTTTCTGGTTTCAAAATTTATTGTACATACATAATAAATAAATTTCAAGCCCTGAAAGAGTTAAAAAATATATATTTTCGCATGTTTCACGTACCACTTCTGATGCACGTGTAAAGTTTGGAAGATACGTAACACGTGCAAAACTATATATTCTTTAGCTCTGCGAGGCATTTTGGTACAGTTTGCTGAAAACTGAATTCGGCGCTCGACGTGTTAACGGTTGACGTAACCCCGAAGAAAATGAAATCAACGCGACGATGCATAATATTCACCGTAATACACGAAAGTGCACTGTTCCACGGATCATTGTAACGTTCTTTCACTCTGGATCATTGTAACAATCCTATCCCCACCTATATCCCTACCACGTTGCACCCAGGCTGACTAAGTCTCCATGGTTGTTGCGGCAGCCGATTCTAGGCCACGTATTCCCAGAAAGATAAGTGCGGAAATCAAAGAATCTTTCTTTCGTTTTATTCGCTCGTTCACACGCTCGTGGAAATATTATTATTGCTGTTATTGTTGTTGTTGTTCTTATCGTTATTACTGATAGACGAATAGATAAACTTTCGAAAACAGTATTAGCGATTATAAGTATCAGATTTGATCAACTTGTATGATTCAAAGATTCGCTCCATTTTACCATATTATTAAATTTAACCCTTCGAACTCGATTTGTCACGCGTCCACTCGTATTTATTTTAACGGCAATTAAATCGTAAAGTTTTCATCAAAGTGAAAAAAAAAATAAAGAACTTGGAAAATAATACAAGTATACAAGCTTCTATTTATACATTTTACGAAAAATCATTTAAATCTCCAACGAATCGATCATTTTGACCATTCTGGTAGTGTCAAACTTAATTGGGTAAATTAACGTACAACGCAGTAAAATCCAACGTTTCGTTTTATCTATTCATTATTATAATCTAATTTTTTAAAGCGTGATGACTTTCAAAACGGTCTCGTCAGCGTGACGCACGAGTTCAAAGGGTTGAATTTGAATAAAAAGAAAAAAAAAACGAATCAAATGAAAGCTTAGATAGATTAGATCGATTAGGGGATTCATTTGGGAAAAAAAAACCTCTAACGCGTTCATCGACGTGAACATGAAAACTAAAAGGTTCGCAATGGTTTTAAGTTTTATACAGGGTTTTATATATTTTACGGACGATTCGCGAACGATACTCCATCTCTCTCCATCTCCGAGTATCTCACCGAGACGAGTGACACGCTCGTAAATACACAGTTCTCGTGTCGTGAGACCGTGCCGACAATTCGCCTTACACCGCATTATCGTAACTTATCGATCCTGAAAGCAATTACGAGCAATCATAATCGTCGTATAATCGTTGGCATTGGAGCATGCAGCTCCAGACGATTACGCGGTAAACGTAAGGACGACAAACGACGTCGAACGACAAATTCATCGAACGAATCTGCGGTCCGATCGATGGTAACTTTGAGGGGCGATCGTTAGCTATTCACGTTGCACTTACTACTACTACGTATAGTCGCGTTGCGTCGCGGGTCACGCCTAAGCATGTATCGCGTTCAGTTCAGATAAGCACAGGTATCTTTGATTCATATACAATACATATCGCTCGTGTGTCACGAACGCGTTCGATCCCGTGGAGCTCACGTGCCGTAAATTATTCGGTGAGAATAGCAAAGCAGCCGTGTCGCGACGCATGCGCATGCTCGCATTCAAGGCAGAAATTAAACCGTGGATCGCTGCGATCGAAATAACTCGCGACGGAGAACAGGTTTCCACGGGTTCGCACGAAAGAGACTTTCCTTCACTGAGAAGACGAAGACGACGACGACGACGACGACGATGAATCTTACGCACGGTTGTTGATTCACGATGCTGATTGCAAGACCGCGAACTTACCGTCTCCTCCTCCGTAATCGACGATAATACCGACTGCGCTTTTACACGTAGAACAACTCGAGCCTAACTATTTTACGTATACGAGGAGCCTTTCGAGTCTCTCGTCGTACGTTTTCACGCACAACGTCGAAATGTCTACGCAGCTCTGAACAACAGCCGTGCAACAAATATAAATTACATACATCGTTTACGTTTCGAAAAACCTTTCAACGTTACTCGATCCTGTCGATATTGCACGCACAACTGCACATGGCAGGGCTATATCGAAATAAAATCGATACAGGCCGAAAAGACGATCCATAGATTTTTTTTTCGCACGTACGTGCGTACACGCGTACGTAAGAGGGATACGTAGGAAAAAAAAAAAAAAGTGAACGGTCAACTACCTCTTCTCATCTCGGTCTATCTTTGGCATCTATTTTCAGCTCGCGTCGTGCGTATACTACTAAATATTTCGCATTTCATTCGGATGTATTACGCGTATGTACGTACACACGTAGTAGACGCGCGCGCGCGTGTGCGTCAGAGTATATCGAAAGAGAGACTTACACTGGCGCACAGTTTCACGTCAGCCGAGCGGAACGAAATTTAATTACATTTTCACCTAGTCGCCGCCGACTGCCGATCAGCGAACAGACTCGACTTCCTAACCTCGCACTCCACTTTTATTCCTTCTTTCGCCTGGTATTCTCACCGAGAATGACGAAACTCGACGGAACGGCGCATCGTGACGAGCATTCTCTTTTCTTTTCTTTTTTTTTTTTTTTTTCCCTTTCGATCTATCCTTTCCGTCTGACTCGGTGGTGCGCGCGTCCGCGCGCACTCATACAAGCCCGCACACATACACGCTCACATCACACACTGTGACAGTGTCGGCCCTGAATCGGTCTTTACCTGCGGGGCGGCCTCCGTAGTGCCCGTGGCAACGAGCTCGCGCGGATCCACGAACAAAGGCGAAGAAGCGGCTCACTGTTGATAGTAAGGGCAAGGATAGTAAGGGGGAGGAAGATGAGAAGAGAGAAAAGAGAGAAGAGAGGAGGAGGAGAGAAGAGAGAGAGAAGTAGGAGAGACGATAACAGCTCCGAGATATACTCTTCCGTTCCGTGTGCAGGCGGCGTTGCTGTCGCGGAACTCTCCTCGCTTGGAAACCACTATCGTCGTAGCACTAACGCACCTTCTTCCATGTTGCATGCATGCCAATGCCGCGGATTCAACGCCGAGTATCCACTAACGTCGACGTTCACTTGCGACAGACGCGGCACAACACGCCATGGCCAATCACGAGAGAAAGATGTCACCGGTAACAACCGTGCACTCGCATCTGGGATTCGCGCGTATCTCACGGCACAACCTCCGGTCCAGAACTGATGCACTACGGTACTACTACGAGGAGGACGACGATGACGACGATGACGACGAGGACGAGGACGACGCGCGCGGACCCTGCTCTCGCACTGCTCTCTCCACCGCTGGTGCGCTGGTGCGCTCACGGCTGCGCCACGAGAAAGAGAAAGAGAGCCACAGCACACACCGTGACGCGCGACGCTCAGCCAGGCGCCATTTACAGAAACGCACGCATCGCCGCTAGTTCTCTCCGACTCTGCTGGCGTCCGTCTCGCTCTCGCTACTTTCGTCACAGCGCCTCCCCACCTTCCCTCCCTTTCTACCCGACCCTCTCCCCTCCCCTCCCCTCACCGCTTTTCTACTCTCAACGTACCTCCCCCTCTTTAACCTCGTCCCCTCCCGTCCCGTCCTGTCCTCTTCTCTTCTATCTTGCTCTCTCCCTTCCTCTCTTTCTCTCTTTCTCCCTCCCCTCCTGTCTGACGTATCTATCCGACCTATCCCAATTACAGCGAACGTCCTTGAGGTGACTAACACCTTGTCGTCCACCGCGCCGCTTGTGGGAACGAAAAGGGATGCACGAAAGCTGCGTCGTCGTTGGTTGAGCTGGCTAACTGACTGACTGACTGACTGACTGACTGAGAGAGACATGTAAAAAAAGCCACAGCTCTGGTGACGGTGACGATGACGATGACGATGACGATGGTGATGGTGGGTGATGGTGATAGCGACGGGCGACGAAAATGGTGGCGCGAAAGTGAAGACGGAAAGGAAGAAAATGGGAGGAGAGGTGAGTGGAAGAGCGCGAAACCCTCGGCTCGTTGCCGAGAGAGCGGCGACGAGAGGTAAGAACTGTTACATTACAGCGCGTATATAGCACTTTGATGCTTGCTTGGAGAACAACCAGAGACAGAGAAAGAAACAAAGAGCGCGGCGGAACGTCCGCGTGTGCATAACGCCTCGGCCACGGCTTCGCTCGAGTTGTAAGTAAAAGGAGAGGGAAGAGCAAGATAACCATGCCTCTTAAGTGTCCGTACGTGAGAACGAGGAGGTTATTCACTGTTCCATGGAAACGTTCGAGTACGATGATGTTGCCGCCGGTAACGCGCCTTTTAGAATCTCCGATACGCGAATATAGTCGTACGTATTCGTTTATGCTAATAAACGTAAATCCGCCGATAAGGCAATAAATCGACCATGCTCTTGTTCTCTTTCTTTTCCTCTCTCGTTTATTTCACATATATATATATATATATATATATATATATATGTTTATATATTTAAATGATTATGATTTATCATTACGCTTGAATAACATTGAATTACTTAATAATCGATTTTATTAAAAATAAAATTTCTTTTCCCTTTTCGTCTAAGAGTCGTTAGTATTCTTTAAACTTGTAATGCACACCCCTAAATAATAAATTCCAGCATTGTCATATCCTCTTTTTCCTTTTCCTTCATTTTTATATGCGAAACAAGCGAATGTATCAATAAAATTTCACTTGTCAAGCGACACATTATCGTATTTACATTGTATCATCTACAGCATCTAACGTTTTCATTACGCCACGTTCGTTTAATAATGCGATTAAGATAGTTTGTGGAAGGACTGTGCCGTAACAATACACGCGAAACTAACGATAATAATGTATGCCTGCCGTTACAACATACTCTGCTTCTGTGATCTCCATCCGCGGTATCTTATCCCGCCGTTGTATTTCACTCAAATGTGATAAATGCGATATGTTACCATAATGCCGATTGATCGTTATTACCAGAACCGTTTTTTGGAACCGTTTGCTTGTCGTACCCCCCCCCCCCTCTCCCTCCCTCCTCGAGACTCTTCATACTGACTTCCTGTCGAAAAATCACAGAATTTAGCAGTTTCTTTCCTTTCGTTTCTTTTTTCTTTTTTCGTCTTTCGTTCACCCCACGAGTATGTACGTGCTTTCTCGTTTGGAAAAAAAAAAGTTCGATTCGAATTTGCATTCAGTGTGACTGTCGTTGCATCGTCTCCGAAAATTCATTTCGAAATAAATTTCGTGAAATAATTACGCTAGAGGACGACGTTTCCCTATTGCCTCCCCGATCATCAGCGACGCGCCAAACTTTGAGTAAGCGCAAGCACACACACACACACACACACACACACGCGCGCAGACACATACTCTCTCATCGATTCTACTTTCCAAGAAATTTTTTTCTCCCCCCTTTTTCTTTTTCCCCCCTCGTTTCAGACGAGGTACGCACAACATCCGAGCAACGCGCATGAGTCAGCGACGCGCGCTCAATCGAATGCATACATTAAGCAAACAAGAAACGAGAAAAATTAAGGAAAAAAGAAAAGAAAAGAAAAGAAAAGAGAGAGGAAGGAAAAACCCACGCCGGGAGAGGGGAGGGAGGGGAGAAAAAAAGAAGAGTATTCTCACGAGCGAAATAGAGGCACGTCGCTGTTACAATGAACAAGTAAAACGGCTCATTAGCAGTGTATGTACGATAGATTACAATGTATGGTAACTCTTCTGCCAGTCTACCCGTTTACGAGAACGGACAAAGAGGAGATAAGATTGCCGCTTTACGCTTAAACTAATGGCGCGCTGACAATGTTTAAAATCAACGAGACAGTACCGAAGTTCTCTAACAGAGGCGTTTTATTACTCTTCTTTTTCCCTCGTGGCGTTTCGATCGGACACGTCGCTCGTTGAAGATAGAAATCGGCGCGAAAAGAGAGGAGGGTGGGGGGGGGGGGGGGAGGAGAAAAAAAACCTGTCCCGACGATTAACGAGAATTCTAAGGTACAACCAGAGGTTTCTCGAGAGTTTCAGCTTCCATTCCATTTCGGATAATACCGCGTGTACCTGTGTACGTATACGCATGATACGCGGTAGCAGTTTTAGGGTAGTTTCACACAGCACGGAACATATACATGTTTATACTTCCATTTGTGTTTTTATTCTGTTAATTTCTCATATAATACTAACAAAACATTTAATTACAAAAACATGGGCGTACGGGTGTACAGTGTTTTATCTTCTTTTTTTTTTTTTTCTTTTCGTGTGTGTGTACGTGTAGGTATGTGTATGTGTATCTCATGTGATGAAAGCAGTAGTTATGTGTGTGTGTGTGTGTGTGTGTGTGTATGTGTGTCTCTCTATGTGGTATGCATATCATCTGGTTAATGTAAACATTACGATTACTTTAATAAGTTTTCTACAATAAGTAGATGGATTTTATAACGACAATTTACACGCTGAACGCGCGCAGAGTAAATATACGTGCTATTTATCCCGCAGCGTCTCTTCGTTTTAATTTTACATTCGTCACGACTTCGTCTTGTATGGGCCTACGACCAATTCTCTCCTCTCTATTATCTATTCCGATGAATATGCAAACGCAAAAGAGATAGAAACGCTACCATAGTATGCGATACAATATCGTACCTCGATATTACTCGATATTATAAATAGTTTTTAATAATTATTTGTCCAAACACTGAATATTTTACAACAGCCATCGATCTCAACTATTCATAATTCTATTAAACAGTTTGCAACTTTTACAGTTTCAATTCGTCTTCTTCTTCTTCTTCTTCTTCGTCTTCTTCTTCCTCTTTCTCTTTTTCGTCTTTCTCTCCTTTTTCGTCTTCTTTTTTTGCATTTTACTTTATTTTAATATTATGCGCAACGTGTCTGATCCAATATCATATCAATAATAGGGATATATCATAAATTTTGTAATTTGCTAAAAAATATTCTCTAAAAAATATGTCGACCTAAAGATTATTATGACTGATAATCACAGACAATTTTTTTCAATTTTTCTTCCGTTCCCATTCCTGTCTCGCTCATCTTTTTTCCCTTTCCCACTTATTTTGAAATTCTTCAATAGTGTCGTTTATTTTTCCTCTCGCCGCCTTTTGCCCTTTCCCTCCGTTTTATATCTCTCTATTCTTCCCTTCTCCTTTTTTTCTTTCTTTCCTTCTTTTAAACAAGTACAACATTCGAAATTCTGCAATTCGTTTAAACGTTAGAATAATACTATTCCCTTCTCTTCTTCGTTTCGTTTCGTTTTTTTTTTTTTTTTTTTTTTTTCGTTTATACACGACCCTAAAAAGCGTTTTACATTTTAAATTATCCTTCCCTTTTTTTTTTTTTTCGTTTCTCGCCTCGGCTTCGTTTCGTTCCGTTTGAAAATTGCTTAGTTTTGCCGATAAAACCAAGGAAACTAACCCCTAAAGACTCTCGAAGAGATGATACACTCGATTACAAGAGGATACACAACGCTGCGATGTTCTTTTCTTCTTTTTTTTTTTTTTTCTTTTGAAATTGTCGTAAAAAGTAATAACGGGCACCGTACGGGTCCATGATGAATAATACAATCGTTCATTTCATTATCACACCAAACTAGCATATATCCAACACTTTTCTCTCTTACCTAAAACATGTTTAGCTTCAAGTGAAGTATATATATATATATATATATTTATTTATTTGAGTTCTCTCTCTCTCTCTCTCTCTCTCTCTCTCTCACGTTCAAATTTATTCTCTTTTTCGCGCGAGTCGCTTTTTCAAGGTGCTAACAGGTGTATGTAGTTTAAACAAACGGTGCACAATATGAGTAGCGGTGTATTATGCCATCTTCTCGCGTAGATTACAATTGATCGATGATGATGATGATGATGATGATGATGATGATGGTGATGGTGATGATGATGAGAATGACGACGATGACGATGACAATAGTAATAATAATAATCATAATCGTAATTATAATAACCATAATAATGAAGGCTAGATGCATAATACTAAGGAGGAGCTTGTACACACTCCTTGCGAGAATAGGGAATCATTTAAAAAGATATAGAGTATGTTTCAGAAAAAAGCGCGAGATAAAAGTTTCCTCACAGAGAAATAATTTTTCACATCCTGTCACACGCCATCCACTAAAACGCCTACTTTTTTTTTTCCTCTCCCCCCTCCCCTTCCCTCTTTTTATCTTTCTTGGTGCATACGATATTCCATATGGATTTTATAAATAAAAAAATAATTAAAAAACAGTGTTCTTAATTTATCTACCGACATGTGTAAATATATATACCCATTATAGATTATCGTTACAGTCATCATAGAGAGATACTAATAATCTGTTATGGGAATATAAACTATAGTGAAATACATCGCTTATATCTCGTAATTCTAAATTGTTCGTGGTGATATCGTGTAACAATTACAAGAATTCGTTACTTTTTTTCTTTCTTTTTTTTTTTTTCTTCTTTTCTCCCCTTTCGTTTTCGAAGAGACCGTGCGCTCTTCTCTCATCCCCACAAAAAGATGACGTTCGTATTTCTTCAACAATATTAGACCATCGTGTGTGTGCACCATGTACTCTAAATCATGTTTAATGTAATTAGTAAATCTCGTTAACCCTAGAACCGTCATCCATAAGTGTAATAAATATCAATAAAATATCTAACATTGCTATTATATTTTCAAGTAAATTACCTTTCTTATATCATATTACTTCTTCTTCTTTTCTTTTTTTTTTTCTTTCTTTTTATACAGATTAAAATTAATTATCATTATATTAACAATATTCATCTTCCAATAATAGCTATCCATTATTGGCAATCATAATATTTAAAAAAAAAAAAAAAAAGAGAAAAAAAACGATTCAGAATACCTAAAAAAAATGGCAATTTCTCGTGACCAGAACAAGTTTCTATTTTCTTCTTCTTTTTTTTTCACCTCCTTGTTTCGTAACTTTTTACAAATCAGCATACGCATTTTGTACCAAACCAGGCCGATTAAAATGTTGCACGACCGACGACAAATACTCGCGTGCTCAAATAATGTTCCTGCCATCATTTATCTCTTTATATTATTTCGTTAAATAAATTCGCGATCGATATTTTCTCGTATAACGCATTTCATATTATTATCAAACTCTTCTCCCACTCTTCTCACCTATTATTTCTTACTCTAGGCCATTTTTTCGTGTAAAGTGCACTTAACGGTGTCCATGGAGCACCAAATTTAAGGGACAACCACCTCGGCAGAAATTGATTAACCGCACTAAAATACTTTATCATAGCTTAATGGATGCATAGACACAATTAGTTTCCTTTTTTTTTTTTTTCTTTTTTTCATTCTTTTTTTTCTTCTTCTTTCAGTTTGAATATAAGTCATCGGGGTATATCTAAATCTATCACCGGGTTTAAAGCGTAGGTAAGGCAAAACTGCATTTCACAGAAAGGTGCTTTTTACGGAATACGTTATATATATATATGCATATATACACACACATACACACATATGTCCGTAAAAGTCTGAAATATATTCCTATAAAGAACATTTATAACTTTCCCCAGTATGGGAAAATATCACAAATATTTTCTAGAAATGTTCACATTCTAGAAAACGTTTACTCGAAACAATGATCTAATCATTTTTTTTTTTTTTTCTTTCTTTCTTTTTATACAATCTGTGTCAAACGTAATCGATTACGCGTGGTTGTACACTTGCCTCTTGCGAGTCGTCGAACAAAATTTTGAACAGAAACTACGGAAAGATTGACGGATTGATTGCAAACCATCGAGTTTCTGCTTAAAAAAAAAAAAAAAAAAAAAAAAGGGAAAAAGAAAGTTTCACTCTCGGCTCTTATCTAGCGATTCGCGTTCGTCGAATACAAAAATAAAAGATAATAAGATTAATATTGTAATATTGGCAAGGCGGAAGCACAAAACGCATGGGTGCATCGTTTAAAAATCTATAAAAAAAACATATCAAAATAATATTGCGCGTACGTAATTCTTTCATTCGAAAACAAATCAACAGGCATTAATTTCTTGGGAAAGCAAGCCCCTCCCTTCTTCCCCGTTCGTTCGTTCGTTCGTTCTTTTTCTTTTACTTTTTCCTTTTTCTTTTCTTTTTCGTTTCGTCTCGTTTCTTCTCTTTCCATTATTATAAGACTTAAAATATCATCAATGTCTGCCAAAGTAGGTACACCTTCAAACAGTCTATCCCACCACTCTAGGGAACTGTTTCTTCTTGCCATTTTCTCTTTCCTATATCCATTCCTCTTTCTCTCTCTGTTTCATTCTCTCTCTCTCTCTCTCTCTCTCTCTCTCTCTCTCTCGCTTTTTTTTTTTGTTTCCTAACACCTACGTCGCTAATTTAAGTTAAACCGGTAGATGTACTTACATCAAGACAAATGTCTAATCTAACAATTACAATATTTTACAAGAACATTTGAAATCTGGCCCTACATCAGACGTGAAAATGTCACGAAGTTAGTCGTACACTGTACACTAAATTTTACATTTACATAAAATATTTAAAAATACACAACTGTCTGATCGTCACGTGTAAAGTCGGGATTTACGTCGTAACGTTCACAAATTGCATAGTCGTGTGTCTTTTCGTCTCGCAGCCATGTCGTAGATAAAAGTTCACTTTCTGTTCTCCCAAGTGGAGGTCGCCAATTTTGCACAGTTTCAGCAGGATGAAACTTGGTCCAATTACGCGTAAAATTACGAAATTTATAATTGGAAATGTCAATTATAAAATATAATGTTATAAGGAAGAAATTTATATATATATATACGTGTGACTGTGTGTGTGTGTTTGTTTGTTTGTTTGTCTGTTGGCGTGTAAATACAAGCTAAAAGCATTTGCCATTTATTTAGTGTAAAGTGACGATAACTTGTACACTTAAGCCTCGATAGTCAAGATAGTACGCAGAGTCTAAAAGACGTGCATGAAAGCACAGGCGTGGATAAAAAGTAACACACTTCAACGAGCGCGTTTGAGAAGCACGCGAGGCTCGCTGGGTACGAAAGCAGGACATATTTCAATCGTTTATTGCTATAAGTATACCCCTTAAATCAACTACCGAGCGTAGCTGTTTAAAGTAACATTGTCATAACGCGATGTTTCGTGTACTATATCTGGCCTTCTAATATTTTTAAATGTATATCTATTCCCTTTATAGTAATAAAAAGCTGCGATCTCTGAAAATAGTTTGACGATTAAAATGAATAACGTTCAATAAAACGAATCCTATTCGAAAGCGCGTATTAATTATAGCACAATATTCTCTGCTGTGCCGGCTGGTTGCTTACGATAGCTGTATATATGCAGTCTCAATTGAGGTATTTACGACATCTGCGGGAGCCGCAGGTACATGGAATCTTGATGTCCTCGAAAGGAAATTTGTAGTCATACGTTAACTCTTCTCCTTGGGTAATGCGACGGAGAGCGAAGATCAAAATGTGCTTCTTACCTAGGATGTCTACCACTCGCGAGTAACAGTTTGGCTGAAATACGAGACACGTTCCAGAGTTAGAGAGTTTTTATTAGCGCATCCGCGTGCGTCGTCAAGCTTTTACTTTTTGCTCCGTCAAACGTACATACGTGCTCCTCTCTTTCAAGGAGAAACGAGCGAATAAACGGATACAATACCTCGCACGAGTGATTAATGAATCTGGCTGCGTTCCCTTTCATCGTGGCGTCAACGACCAGGTGATCGTCGATTTTGAACATGTAACATCCTATGTTCTTGCTGTCGTAATACTTTTCTCGCTTGTCGGTCAACGATGCTCGAATCACCTACAAACAGGGTTGTATGAAACGTCACTCGAGATTGTATAAATCATAGTCTTGCACACAGGGTGAAAAAGTAGGGGGTAGAAGGAGAAAAGGATTCGCAACTTTTAGATTAGATTTTTAAATAGATAGACAAGACAAGACAGTACGTACCTCACCGGCATACTCGATAACCATCTCTCCAGCTTCGATGTCTCTCAGGCAAAATAAACCTCTGCCGTGTATGTGAGAATGATACACTCCGACCGACTCTTTCGACGTTTCTTTCAGTATTCTGAAGCGCATCGCCATTGGTAGATTGGTACTTGCCACACGTCTGAAATAACAATCGAACAAGAATAAATCTTGAATAATGCCTCCGCTACGATGCAGTTACAGCTGTGCGTATGGTACGTAATGTACACATGACTAACAATCTACGCCTAAAAGGAACTAGAGTTTTAGGAACGCGTACACTGATAATGACGAGAAAAGGCAAAAAAAAAAAAAAAAAAAAAAAAAAAAGAAGAAAGGAGAATCGATTCGGACGTTTTACCTGGACTCGGCTTCGGAGATGGCGATCATTTTTGGTTGTTGCCTGTGCCTGGACGCCAGCCAACTGAACATGTCGTGAACTTTCCTCCCTCTGAAGGGTTCCGCGCGGGCAGCCCCGTTCACGTTTGCCCTCAGCAAGTCGCTCTCCACCACTTCCCCCGGCTTCGGCGGTGCCAAATCGTGAAACCGTGGCTTGTACTTGGTGCATCTGTTCACGTCCGGTAGCTGCTCGACCAAGTAGACGGTGGCGTTGTTCTCCAGGCCCAGGTTCTCGGTGAGAGGATTGTGGGGCAGCGGTGGCAAGTTGTGGGCCTTTCGAGCGTTCTGCACCGCTTGAAACACCGTTTCCCACACCTCGGCCATCGACGAGGCGGTGTGAGTAAAACCGTCCTGCGACTTGATCTCGTACATCAGCGTCGGCCCTTTCGCCGTGTTCTTTTGCGTTTGTTGCGCGACGTTCGGCAAGCCCGGCTGATTCTGCTGCTGCTGCTGCTGCTGCTGTTGCTGCTGCGACGGCGGCGGCGGTGGTGGGACGGGCTTCATCGATTTGCTCATCACTCGTGGCTTCTTCACGGCGATCGGCGGTGTCTTGTTCTTCAGTAGGTTGAACTTGTTGTTGCTGTCCACCATGCCAGAAGGTTTCATCTTTTCCTCCTCGATCTTGTTCGTCTTCAACGTGAACGTCTTGATCGGCAGCAGCTGCAACGAGGTGATCTGCGGCATCTGTTTCGACGGCAGTATCTCGACGGAGGTTACCTGCGGCGGTTTCTTGCTCTGCGTCATTGCTTTCATGTTGTGCGTGATTTTGTACGAACCGTCCTGCAGCTGCTTCTGCAGCACGATCTTCAGCGAGGCGTTCTGCAGCTTCTCCTTGTCCAGCTCCAGCTTCAGATTCTCCTTCAACGAGAGTTTTTTCCTCTCCTCGTTGTATATCGTCTCGCCGTTCAGCTTCGCGTTCAGCGTCTCGTTCATCACGCCGTTTATGGCGGTGTGGCTGTCCTTCTTCACCGTCGGCGCCACAGCCTCCACCACCGCTTGCTGCTTCTTCTCGGACTCGGTCGCGAGCTTCTGCTCCGGCTCCGCCGGCTTGATCACCGGCTTCGTCGGCTCCTCCATCATCATCATCATCTCCGTCTTCTGCATGCTTTTGGCCGTGTCCTGCTTCGGCGTCACCGCCTGCATCGGCAGCACTCGGTTCATCGGTCGGCTGGTCGGCACGTTGCTGGTCGACATCGTGATCTTGCTCTGCACCGCCGAGCTCGCGATTGCGATCGAGTTGTTGTTGTTGTTGTTACTGCTGCTGCTGCTGCTGCTGCTGCTGCCGCTGCTGCTGCTGCAGTTGTTATTGTTGTTGCTCGTATTTACATTAACGGCGTTTGCGCTCGGCACGGCACCGCTGTAACCATTATGCACACTATTTACATCGTGATTCAACTTATTTACAATGATGTCCCTCTGAGTAATACAGTGATTGGGCAACGGGGGTATTTTGGGCGACGATATGCTCGACTTGATCATACTGGTGTTCTCCGACACGTGCTTCGAGTCGAAGTACGGCCGGACGCTGTTGTTGCTGTTGTTGTTGTTGTTGTTGTTGGTCATTTGTTGGTGCTCGGAGGCAAACACGGATTCGGTGATTTTCCACGGTCCGCCGCTAGGTTGTACGACAGAGTTTGAAACGGGACTCGGTCGTACAGCCACTCTCGGTATCGTTGGCAGCGAGGTCTGCAGCGATTTTACAGTCTCTTGGCACGCGACTCTCGCCACAGCTTGAGGCAACGTCTCCGACGGGCAGGTATCTGGTGGCAGATGGATCGATGAATGTTGCATCGGTTCCGCCACGGTGTTCTGACACGACACCGACGTTGGCAAGATGTTGTTGTTGTTGTTGTTGTTGTTGTTGTTGTTGTTGTTGCTGCTGCAGCTAACTGGGGCAAAGATTCGCTCGGGCGTCGCAGGAACGTCAATCTGCGGCGTAGCGATGGCTGCTTCCGCCATGGGTGTCGACCGATTCACGACCACGTAACCACCGGCGGACACCGTGGACAGATCGGCGACGTTCCCGACGTTGGATGGCAAGGTGGCGACGTTCGACACGCTCTGAACGGCCGATATAGGCGGTCCAGCCGGTACGCTGTTGCTGGTCACGTTCGAAGCGTTGTTGGGCAAACTAGCTGCCGGGTTGAGTATATTGGAGGAGACGTTGGACGCGTTGTTGGGTACGGTGGATGCGGTGGGGACGGTGGGCGCGACGGGCAAGTTGGGTATACCGGACGCACTGGCTACGCTCGACACGCTGGCCACGCTGAGCATGTTCGACACACCGGTACCGCCGAGCGTACTGGGCGCGCCAGTTATATTCGGTATACTACCAGGTATACTAGGTATACTGGGTATACTGGGCAAACTAGGCAAACTAGGCATGCTAGGCATACTGGGTATGCCGGGTGTTGCGTTGGTTGCACTGGAGGGTGATATACCAGGAATACTGGATATACTAGGTAGGCTAGGTAGGCTAGGTAGGCTGGGTAGGCTGGGTAGGCTGGGTAGGCTGGGTAGGCCAGGTACGGCAGAGAGGCTGGGCACGCTAGGTACGTTGGATATACTGGGCACGCTAGACACGCTGGACATGGCCGGCACGTTGGACACGTTGGGTATATTCGCGACGCTCGACATATTGGACACGTTGGAGACGCAGTTGGAGACGGAAGAGGGCATGGCGGGTACGGTCGGTATGGCGGGAACAGTTGGAACGTTAGGTACGTTGGGTACGCTGGCTATGTTGGTCACGTTGGGCACGTTGGGCACGTTGGGCACGTTGGCAACGTTCGACACGTTCGGCACGTTCGGCACGCTTGGCACTGCGGGTACGTTCTGGACAGACTGCACCGCCGTCACCGCCGTCGGGACGCCCTGAACGTCCACGATCGGTTCCATCAGCTTCGAGGCTTGGAAAACTTGCGTGGTCGTTTGATAGCTGCTCGCCAACACCTGCGGTATCGCGCCAGCCATGAACTGGCTGGAAGACATGACCGTGTTGCTGACGATCGTCTCCAGACCGTAGTACATCGGCTGATTCGAGAGGAACATGCTGCCGGTGGAATCGGTGAACATCTCCAGCGTCGGCGTCGAGCTCAGCAGCAACTGCTCCGACGAGATAACGCCGCACTGAATGGCACTCGGTGGCTGTTGCTGGATGATGGTACCGAGGACCGTCGGCTGCGTCTGAGCGATCTGCACGCCCGGCAATATCGATATGCCGCCATTCTGCTGCAACGCCAGCAGATTGTCGGAGGACGCTTGGATGTACGCACCGGGGACAAAGTGATTGGCGGCAGTTATGAACTGAGGCTTGAACGCGGTCTCGTGCTGACCGCCGATCGTCGTCACGTACTGAAGCGTATTCTGGCCGGAATGCTGTTGCTGCAACGTCTCGACGTACGCGGACACGATGCCGGGCGACGCGGTCTGCTGCAGTATCACGGTCGGGCCGCTCGGTCTCTGAGTCGCCTGCTGCAGCTGTATGATCGGGGCGTTGTTCTGTATCGGTTGGAACCTAGCGGCCTGGTGATGCCCGTTGCTGCTGTGCGGTTGCACGCCCGCGTTCCTCACTATCTGCCCCGCCGCCGACGTTTTCAGCCCCTTTGCACGAGACTTGGGCGCCCTCGCCGATCTCGATCTCGCCAGTTTCGTCAGTTGAACCTGCTGCGAGTTCCCCACCAAGCCGCCTGCTTGCGACGGATGATCGCAGTTGTTGTTGGCCGCGACAACGATCGATCGGGCACCGCTCGACGGGTACGTCGGCGACACCTGCGGGCTCGGTACCGTCTGCGAACCGTTTCCACCGTCCGGCGAGCTCATCGGCGTGTTGACCATGTTGTTGCTCTGCTGAGACGCGTTGCCGCTACTGCTGCTGCTGCTGCTGCTGCTGCTGCTGCTGCTACTACTACTGCTACTGCTACTGCTACTGCTACTGCTGCTGCTGCTGCTGTTGCTGCTGCTGCTGCTGGAATCGCTGCTGGCGACCGACGGTGGATCCGTGATCTCGGTTATCTGGACGGTGCTCTCCTGAGGCAACACCGCCGCCGCGTTCGGCAGCGTGGTGGTCGTTCTGGTGTACTGCGTCTGGACGATCATGTCGTTGGACGTGAGCACCGTCTGATGAACGGTCTCCACGGTGGCGTGCGTGTGAATCTGCGGCGTGATGATGGCCTGCGCTATCGGCTCGATCTGAATGGCCGGGTGAGGCGACGCCACGGAGGCTTCCAGCGGCGAGGTGGCCTGCATGTCCGGAGGAAAGTCCGACGAGGAAACGGTGTGACCCTCGGACGGCGACAAAGTGAGAAACTGCGGCGACACCGAGCCGATGCTCGGCGAGAATCTCGAGTCCGGTGACGCTAGCTTGTTGTCCATGGTCTCGGAATCGCTGTCGCTGGTTATCATGATGTCGCAACTGGCCAGGTGTCGATTGTAGCTGTCCTGCGTTCTGTACGTGCAACGGCATCGTTTGCACGTCACGGGCCGATCCGTCACGCGCACGCTGCACGCCACGCTGCTCGTCGTCTCGCCCTCGACCCGCTGCTGCTCCACCGGCGAGACGCACTCGTCGTCGCTGGAAACGTCGTCGGCCCCGTCCAACTGAGGAATCCCCAAACTCAACTTTAAACTTTTCTCCTTTGTCTCCTTTCCGTTTCCCGAGTCGTCGTTGTCGTTGTCGTTGTCGTTGTCGTTGTCGTTGTCGTTGTCGTCGTTGTCGTCGTCGCATTCCATTCCTCCTCCTTCGGCCGCCTTCTTCTGCGCTCTGTCGCTGTCGCTCGATCTGCTCACCTGCGTTCTAATCAATCCGTATATATCGTAACGTCTCGATCGTAACGCGTTGCTCGCAACGTGCTCGTACTCGACGAGCAAAGGAGATTCCGCGCAGCTGCTGCTACTACCACCGTCGCTGGAGCATTCGTCGTTGATACCGTCCAACTGCGGGATCGACAAGTGTCCCGGCACTCCAACGCCGCTTCCCTTCTCCTCCGCGTTGTACTCTGGCGAGCTGCACTCGCTGGCGCTGCTCGGATCGGCGATTCCGTCCACCTGCAGGATCCGCGGCTGTTGCCTCGCCGCGTGCCAAAACAGCCGTTTGTGCTGCTCCTTGCCTTCCTCCCGGCTGCTCGACATCACCCGACGATTCATACCGCTTGCCGCGTCCTCGATGCAGTACTTCAACTCCCGCACCGAGTCCGACAGAATGTTGGGCGTGTTCGCTCTGCCGACCGTCACCATGATACTCTCCGGGATCCTCAGCTCGTGCAACGTCCGCTCGTGCGCCCGTTCGCTCTGCGAATCGCCCAGCAGCATCACGCTCGCCGTCTCGTTCGGTCTGGTCGCGCTCGGATTCCGCGACAGTTTCCTCCGTTTGATCGTCGGGCCGTAGCTGCCGTCCAACTTGCAGCTCCACGTCAAGCTGCACGATCGTTGGTGATGATGATGCCTCTGCCCGCCTCCGACGATCAACGGACTGTTCGACATCACCTCCGACTTTGACCGCTTCAGCTCCCTGCCTCCGCCTCGTTTCGCGTTCTTCGAGCTGAACAGATCGTCCATCAGATCCTGGACGGAACTCTTCGCCTCCAAGTGAACCCACAGGTCGTTGTGCCCTCCCAATTCCACCAACGACGGATCCACCATCTTCGAAACTTTGCTCTCCGCCGTCGGCTTCCTCTCCCCAGTACCCGCCATCTCCTCCACCTCCGACGCCAGCATGATGTTGTCGTCCTTGAACAGGTCCGCCGCGAACGCCGTCCCGTCGTTCTTCAGATCCATCGCTAAAAAATCCTCGTACGTCATCTTTGGAAATATGTCCTGCATCGAGATCCCGTCCAGAAGATCGTGCGGCAAATCCTCGAATATCGCCTCCTTCAACTCCGGCGGCAAAAGATCCGTGTTGTTTTGCTCGGCCAGATTTTCGTCCACCTCCTTGTTGCACACCGCGTCGATCAGAGCGTCCAGCGTTTGCTTCACGGCCAAGTATTCCCCCTTTTCCGCGCTCGACGCGAAGATGCTCGAACCGTCTCTGTCGCCGTCACCGTCACCGTCACCGTCATCGTCAGCGTCGTCGTCGTCGTCGTCGTCGTCTTCGTCTTCCTCCGCCGCTTCTGCCTCCTCCACGTCCTCCTCTCGTTCCTCGTCCTCCTCGTCTTGCTGCTCCTTCTCCTTCGAATGATCGATGGTCACGTTGTTTTCCAAGTCGGAGGAAACCTCCGGTACGTACACCTGCACGTACGTTCGAATGTAGTATCGCACGATTTTAAACGGATTCACCGTCGACCAGTAGAGCCGGGAACATTTATAGTCGCAAGGTATGATCCTCTCGGCGGCGTCCGAGTACTCGGGTATAACCGTGCCCAGGCAGTCGATCATCAACGAGCCAATCATCACCTTTACTTTACTCGGCTCCGCGTACTTTCTCTTCTTACGTACCTCCAACTCCACGTACACCGATCTCTGCAAGCTAAAGTCGTTCTCGCTCTGCAACGTTTTCTGCGCGCAGTTGTTCAAGTGCGAGCAACAGAACACCGTCTTGTCGTCGTTGAAGGCAAGGCCGACGTTCCTCGCGCAGGGATAATGAAATGTATTGTTGCAGTTTTTCGCGCAGCAGCCAACGCTCGCCCCCTTCTTTCCGCACTCGGTGCAGCGAATCAGCCGACCTCTCGAGATTGCGCTGTGAACGTTCTGCAGCGAACCGTCGATCTCCTCGAACACCTCGTTGGACCAGAGCGCGCAGTTCGAGTGTACCCACTCGTTCTGCCCGCAGTACAGCAACCGTCCCTCTTTCGTTTCCGCGCCGTCGCTCAGCCCCTTGCACAAGCAACACGATCGACCGTCCTCGACGTGCACGCTGTACAAATTCGCCGTCTTGGCCGCGATCGCTTTCGGCGCCTTGATCACCTCCTCCCTCCACACCTCCAGGATCGAGTCGTCGAGGAGCCTCGTCGTCACCGGGCTGTTCTCCTTGCTCGCCTCCTTGCCACCCGACGTCGACGCGTCGCGCTTCCCGTTCCCTCCTGCCTTTATCATTTTCGGACTGAACCACGGGAACACGTCCTTCAAGATGTCGTGATAAGCCTCGGTGAGCTCCTTCGCTCCACTACGACTTATCACGCGCTCCATGTCGCAGTGAAACTGCAACAGCGTTTGGTACTCGTTGTTGTTCACCTTTCGTTTCACCGACATCAACGTCGGCGAGGGCCTGACGATGATCTGCTGCTCCGAGCAATGACACTCTGCCGACGCGTCGTTCCAGCTCACGTTCGAACCTTCCTGAGTCGTCGACGAATCTTTCCTCTCGTTGTCCTTCTCGGTGTCCTTCACCGCGCAGTTCTTCACACGAACGGAGCACTCTTTCAAGTGAAATTTTTGTCGAAGGCGTCTCAAACCTCTTCTGTTGCAACTGTCGCTTGTCGGTTGGTCCTCCTCCGATTTACTCGTCGAATCGGATTTTGAATTATTATTGTTGTTGTTGTTATTATTATTAGCATTGTTGTTGTTGTTGTTGTTGCTACTGCTGTTGTTGTTGTTGTTGTTAATGTTATTGTTACTGTTACAACTATATTCTGCACTTTTGACCTTTCCACCGTTGGCTTCGTCAGCCTCCTCGACGTTTGCACCTTCTTTGACATTGTTCAGATTTGTATCCGTCTTCTCGCTCGAGAAATCCAATCTTTTCCCGTTGGAAAGGTTGGATCTGCACAAACATTCCTTTCTCGGACTCCACTTTAACGCAGCGCAAGTCTTTTTGTTCTTACTCAACGATTTTATGACTCCTATGAAACCAGCTTTCAGTTCAGCTTCTATGGCGTTTCTCCAAACGGAATTTGGATTCGAGGAACACTGGCTGCACGTAAATTCGATAGTGTCGGGTAAGTAACTAAGAATTTGATAACGTTCGTCGGAAATTCCTTCGCAGTACGCGTGTACCCAGTACGAACATTCGCTGCACTCCATCATCTGGAAAATAGCACAAACGAGGTCAACGGAGTGCAATGTAAGCTCTTTGAAAGCATCGATTGCAAAATATATTTTTTTTTGCACGTGTACGTAAAGTGGAAAAAAAAGAAAAAAGAAAAAAGAAAAAAGAAAAAATAAAAAACAAAAGGAGAAAAGAAAACGAAACGAGGAAGAAACACTCACCTTTGTGTCGAAATCGTTTTCGTTGTAACATCTTTGACACAGGGGACAGTAATTTCCTTTTTGACGCAATTTAAAACACATGGAGCATAATGGTAAATTGCCCACGTGGACGTTAACTCCTTCGCTACCGCAGCTTTTACACTTAACACAACTCTGACACACATAGGGTCTTTCGGGACTGTATAGTCTCGCGCTAACGCCAGATTTTGACAAACACGAATGGTGAAATGATTGACGACAACGAATGCAAGACAATTTTGGACCAGATCTTAGATGGCAGGATTGGCATATTGTACATCGAGGACAGCACCAGTTTGGTTGAGCGCAAGCATTCCATTCACTGGGTTCCAAACAAAAGGCATGATATGGCTCACAACAGCACTGACAGTGGATCAGCTGCAAAGATTTTTCACAATGTACAATTATATAGAACAACGTGGGTCCACCATACGTTACTTACTGGCTCTTTCCCAGCACTTCCACAAAGGTAACAAATTGCAGGAATATGAAACAGTTCCGAACCGATGAGGGCAAAGCCTTTCGCACCGACTTCCGTGGGATCGTATTGTTCCCAGAAATCTATAGACACCGTGTGTAATGTGTCGCTGTCTGTTTTAGGTGCCTGTAACCAGTGTTGTGTTACAAGCTTACAACGATATAACACCCAACGTTACAATGCAATTGTCGAAACTTCAAACGTTATTTCGTACACCAAATTTGGCACGTGTGTCCACGATAGAACGTGTCCCTAGATTTTAATCTGCATTGTTAGTTATGTAATTGACCTGCTTACCACTTGAAAATTTGACGTTGACACGTTCTGTTGCGATTTGCCTCTTTTCGGGTGAGGTTGCTGCGTTGTATTAACGATACTGTGACTCACAGTATTTTCGTCGTTACGTTTTTGCGATTCCTTCTCCTTTGCCTCGTCCTTTTTCTCTATCCTATCGTTTTCCTTCAAAGTTTTCGGAATGTGTTTATTGCTTTCGGTATCCTCCTTTCCATCTACAGAGGGAAACGTTGCAATTGGTTGGCCAAGAGCCACGCTCGCACTTCGACAAACGTGTTTCACTCTCGGCCCTTTCAATTCGAGTCTCTGTCTCAGAGGTTGTGGACATTGATTTAAAGATGGTAACGAGAACATTGGATTCTTCAGTTTCTTCCTCACTTTTATCCTATTGTTTTTTCTTCTTTTTTTACTAGGCGATATATTCAACGACGAGTCGACTACAAGATTATTAAAAGTATTATTTACCGACAATGAAAAGTATAACTATGACTATGATAAATATAATTAATATGATTAACGGTATGTAAAGTTTAAATTATTTCCGTTATTTTTAAAGTTAAGAAGTGCGTGTACATTATAAATTGAAAATAACAGTGTCTTACATTTATCTAACTTTGTATATAGAAAACCACCAGTGCCTTGAAAACTAGCTTTTTGACCTATCTCTATGTTTCTCCAATTCATGGCTGATTTGAACAAGTTCTTCTCCGAACTATCTTCTGCAGGCCAACCTAACTTGGAAGATATCAACTTTTGTCCCTGGCTATCGTGATCTTCTTGACTCAACATCAATGGAATATTCAGTGGATCTCTCATCATCGGTGGTAGCAATGTGTTTAAGCCTGTTTTCAGAGAAGAAGGAATGTTGTAACATTTCAAGCACATTTTTAACCAACAAGCCGGGCATCTAGCCTTGTAAACGCATCTCATGAGATTCCACTGTTGACTCTTTACGACAGGCGGTACCAAGCACAAACCGTCGCCTTTGTGACATTGAAGAACTGGAAGCGTACTATTCGTAGATTTTGCGCAAGCCTGTCGTTTGATCATTTTACTGATAAACTTTCTACACGATTCACAACTGTGAATACCAAATTTTCGAGCCTGTTTCACAAACCGATAGAACCGCACAGCACCACAAACTCCACACTTGATGGTGCCAGTTAAACCTAAATACAAGAAAGGTAAAATGAGTTTGCTACTCTCTTACTTGACAAACTACTTTGTCTTACTTGTCAATCGATACGATCAATCATATTAATCATTCATTCAGGAGTATTATCCAAACATTTTTGTACCAGTAATCAACATTGAATTAAAAGCAACAAATTGCAAACACAGTGGTGATACGTACCTAAATTACCATTTCCATTTGTAACGCTGTTACTGTTTGTCGTTGAAAAGGGACCTTCGGTTCCACCAATACATTTATTATCCAACTTTAATCTCGCTTTCCTTAAAATAACCTTTCCGCCGTTCAACTTCATCCCAGTCCATTCAGACTGTTCGTCCTCTGTGTGATTACTATGCTCGCTTCCACTTTCGGACAATGTGCTTTCTGTGTCGAGATTATCCGAATTCCTGTCGGTACTTTTGCTACGGCCCTTTGCGCTATTGTTCTCCTTCACTTTTGTCACGTCTGCGAAATTTGTCTGAACTTCTAAATCAACCGTATCATTTTGAGTTCCTGACCTAGTCTGAATCCTGGAAGACTCTGAACTTGGAACATCAGAATCAGGAAGAACTTTTGTAGGAACAGAAATTACCTTTTGGTTTTTGGAGACATTTAATTTTGCATGTTGAGCTTTTCTAGTTACATTTCGTACACCGTCTTGACCACTCACCGTGCCGGTACATTCGTCGGACAAACATTTTACCACTTTGCCTTTACCCAACACACTCGTCCTCTTACTAACGTCTGTACTAATAGTTTTTGATACTTGTGCGTCTTGTACGGAGGATGCTAATTTCTCAAGACTCTTTCCAGATTGTATTACAGTCTGGGCATCGGAACTTGCACGCTGAATGACTTTCTTGGCCCTGCTCTTCGTCTCCTTGTCTTTCAATTTCGCGTAGAGTTTCGCAACGTTCCCCTCTTTCAATTTCGTCTCCTGATTATTACAAAGTTTGCTCAATGCGAATTTCGCTTTCTTTACGTGCGTGCCGACTTCATTCTCGCTGTGCTCTGCTCCAGAAATTTCTTCCAGCTCCTCGATGAACCTCTTGTTTGGTTTGATAACTCTCGACGAATGAGCACTTCGGACCGGTAAAATGAATTTTCTCACAGCGTTTGGTTTCTCACCGCATTGCGCTGTCATGTTACGTGCATTGTTACTGTTGGATTTTGCCCTCTGCAACAATCTCTTTGCAGTGCTGTTGCGCAGTTGTCTCGTTCGTTGATGCTGGTCCAAGATGTTGTTCACCGACTTTAATACTGGTGTTTTCATGAAATTGGAGAACTTGATGTTTTTACAATTCCTGCGGCTCTTGGACCTGTGAAACTTGGCAGCATGCTTGGAATTTACTACTGTCACATCCTTCTTGTCCTCCTCCACTGGTTTGCCGTGGCTCTTATCGCCTAGGCCCTCTGTATTATTTTCAGTACGCGAGGGAGCATTTTTAATATCTGCGACATTCTGTACAGTCTGTTGCGGCGCGGGACTGTCAACGGCATCACGCTGCGGTTTAACAGTTGCGTTTCCTGTGTCGTGCTGTTGCGTTTTCACGTAAGACACGGAAAGATTAGCTTCCTTGGTGCTAAAGCCATGGAACGGTGGATGTTCCTGTGGGAGAAATGCATTCAACGATAATTAAGGGCAAACGACAAAGCAGCGTTGTTAATTTTAATAAAATTTTACGCTTCGCGTCTCGTCAACGAAGCGTCAACGACGACTTTCTCCTCGACGTTTCGTGGTGACAACGACAAGTGTTGGACGATCTAAAGTTGGACATTGCGAGAAAAAAGTGAATAAGATACGCATATGTAACACGCGAGGCGTACGGTTGTGTACGAGTTTCTGGTTGCAAGGAGAATAGAGAAATCGGTATAACAATATCGTTAAGACAAAACGTTGAAGATTTATCGGGGCGAAACACGACGAGAACGGCGATTTTCGACGAAATCTTTGACACTTTCGAGCAAGCGGTACGTCAGTACGCGTTATACACATCTGCCATTCCGAGTCTGTGACTGCCCCCTGATAGGTTAACTTTCATTCTACAGGCAAACGTTGGGAGTTTTTCTGGGCGAGCGAATCGGCGCCGTATGCGTCCTTACGACGCTTACGAAACATACGAGTACAAGTTGTGTTTGTAAGCGAAGGAAGAGAGAATGGACGATACACGGTTTGTGACCGATCAGGCGCCCTCCGGACACCGAGCGATCCTCGCTCGAGCAGGTAAACTGAGAATTACCTTCTCGTTGTCACCAAATGTTTCGTTGAACAGGGAAAGTCCGTAGTAGATGTTTTCGGCGACGGTTACCGAATCGCTTTGGGCTGTCTCGGGCTGGCCGAGAACCTTGATCCGTTTCCTGGTGACCGTCTTTGGCGGCTTCCCGGGAAACTTGGACCTTCCCATGTTCACTCGTTTCAACGGCCAACCTCAACCTCACAACGAAATTTTGTATCCATTTTACACGATTTTGCCCAGCCGAGGCGCACCAACTGAACACCAACGAACACTTAACACACACGGAACTCACAACGCTTCGTTAAACATCGGTTAACGTCGGCTAAATTCGATGATAACCTCGAAATACGCGCGTACTGTTAAACACAGAATCACTAGTAGCAAGGTGGGTACATATGTTTTCGAATACAGACGCGCGCGCCGTCTAGTGATTTTTGTTGCATGCCAGCCCGAGTACTCCAGTTATGCGCGCTCGGCCGTTAACTCTTCGAATTTCGACGATTCTTTGTTCGGGGTTCGCGTACAATTACGCGTGACTTGTTGCAACAAGTTTCGCGTCGAATGAAAGTTAAACTCATACGTACGTACGTACCCGCCTCTCGTTGACACCTGTCACTGTGATTCGTTCAACCAGCAACTAACTAGCGTAAAGTAAGGATAGAAACTTTCAACTCGATTTACAATCGGCTACATTTTTTTTCTTTCTTCTTTTCCCTTGTTTGTTTGCGCAAGCATATATATTTTACCAATCCCAAAATCGTGGCAATTTGCAATTAGCCGGTGGGCGATCGGTGTATCGTGTACACGAGTGCAAGTTCAGCTTGTATACAACACATCCACCACGCGCTAGGGAATATTAACTCTCCTTTTGCAGCGTCCGTTGATGTAGTTTCCGTTTTACGAATCGTTTACGATTGATGCACAAATTTCTTTCGCTAATTTGTATCTTTCTCGGCTAATGAGATTAATTACTTGCGTTAAACTTTTCAATGGCAAATTACAACTATTTGGTATTACAACCAGATAAAATTGAGTAAAAATTTATTCAAGATTACAACGTGATGCGAGCGCATATGCACGAACGTTGTTACAATAATTTTTTCGTTAATATTGTTTTAATAATGTTAACAATGTTTTTGTGTAATATTAATAATGTTTTTTAAACATTATGTACACTTTCAATAACGTTTTTGTGTAATATTAATAATGTAATATAGTAATGTAATAATATTAATAGTTTAATGTTTTTGTGTAATATTAATAATGTTTTTTAAATATTATGTACACTTTTAATAATGTTTTTGTGTAATATTAATAATGTAATATAGTAATGTAGTAATATTAATAGTGTAATGTTTTCGTGTAATATTAATAATGTTTTTTAAATATTATGTACACTTTTAATAATGTTTTTGTGTAATATTAATAATGTTTTTTAAACATTATGTACACTTTTCTTTTTTAAACGTTATATACAATCGTCGAATTGGTAATTTGAAAAAGTTAAGGAAAGGATTAAATTGTAATTTGTAAAAGAAAAAATGAGAGAGAGGGAGAGAGAGAGAGAGAGAGACTAGAAAAGAAAAATAACCAAGGCAGATGAAGAAGTTAATTTCGCATTGATATTAATTGGTTTAATTTTTTACGTTGTCTCGTCGTTCAATTATCAAAATGCGAATTTCATTTTTGCCAATTATTATTAAGAAAACAATGATGTACCAAACTACTCGACCAAAGTCAGTCGGTTCGTTTCACGTAAAGACATGGTTCGACAAATGAAGTATTTTAAACGAATTACAATTCGTGCGCAGTGACCTGTGCTCCATTTAAAAGAGCCTCTGTCGATACAACCATCAAGTACCACTTTCAAATCCATATTGTACCTTTCCTTTGTCTCACCGCTCGGCGCACAATAATTTTTTCAAAGCGTTTTTTTTTTTTTCGCTCTGTGTACACGCACGCCGAACCCTTTTGTTCAATTTCTCTATATGCAAATAATTCATACATTGGCAAATGATTAATGTCAACGACGCGTCTCATCGAGCTCGTGACACGTAAACGCGGTATACGGGAGAGCTGGTCGATTTTCCACGATCGAGGGAAAGACGTTCGTCGATTCGCGTTATCACGATAGCACGATGATCGCGTAATTTCCCTTTACAACAATGGTTTCCCTTTGAACTCTCGAAGAGTGTTCGGGAAAACTGCGAGAAAGAACGCGATCTGGTCGAGATCTAATCGTTATTTTCCACTTTTATGGACGGAGAAATTGATACGTATTACATCGAATTGAAATATAGAAGTGCGTGGCGTCGTACCCACGTTTTTATGCATGTACGTGCGTATGTATATATCGGCCACCAATACCGCATTTCATTTTATCGATCTTTCGGCAACGTAAATATTTATGTACGCATAAATACACAGGCACGCGCATGTACTAATAAACTCTCTCTCTCTATATTTTTAATAAGGGATATCAATAACGTATTGCGTTTCCCCCCTTTTGCGCCGTTTTCCACCAACCAGGTCAGAAACTAAATTACGGCCACGTCACAGAGAAATATTTGGACGGCAGCACTGTTCTTGATTATTTCGATTTATGTTTTTCGCAGAACGTTGAAACAGACGTTGAAAAATTACTCTGTGTGTATATATCCTACGCGATGAGTATACACGCACGTGCATACGCAGTCAGTCGGAATTTTACGTAACTTTTAATTAAGAGAAATATCGTTCTTTTCTTTTCTTTTCTTTTTTTTCTATTTTTTTTTTTTTCTTTTTTTCTGCCTTCTCCGATATTAATATCGCCGGATATTAAAAAAGGTGAATAATTTTATAATGGAAGGACGTGGCGAAAATTGTCAAAACCAAACGCAACGCGAGGCCAATTTTCGACACACAAATGTTTATCCCCGCAATGTCGTTTTAATCAGAGGGATAATTTGCTCGAGAAATAATTATCCACTACACTCGACAAATTATCTCGTCGAAATTATTTTTCCTTGTTACCGCTGTACAAGCCGGGCAGGTTTCCGATCGATTCTCGACAAATTACCAACACGTATTTTCCTTTGTAAATATTACAAATACGCGGGTGAATGTAGAATATTAAAAAAAAAAAAAAAAAAAAAAAAATGTTATTTACGTGCTATAAAACTAAATTTCGATTTTCCATCGATAGATAAATGTACCTATGTTGTTACGGAAATATCTTTATACTTTTTCGCACAGTTGTGAATATTAATCGTGATTCGTCCAAATACCCAAACGATGAATTTCACAATTATCAATTATTCATGTGACAAATGTTTCCCTCGTTGCAAATAATAATTATTTCGTTCGAGTAGGTACGTACGTCTCACGACACGTTATCGGTATACTGACGAGATTCGATTAAAAAACGAGTAGCACGTCGGAACGAAAAATTTTCAAACAAATTGCCTCGACATCATCTACGATTTGAACGAAAGACTTGAACAAAGAATTTAAAATTTCAAGCGTTTAAGCACAAACAAGTCGACGAGACGAGGGGGCTTTTCTACCCGAAGACTGCAAAACGAATACTCTCTCTCTCCCATACAAATTCAAATGTGTCGCAGTTTCAAGCTTAAATTCAAATTCAAATTCAAATTCAAAGTCACATGGAAATTCGAAATTGGAGAGGAGCTAACGCGATGGTTTGGTTACAGGTATGCACGCCGGGAAATTTGAGATTGGTTGGCTCGGTGGTACGCGTCGTATCGGCAGCGGACCAGCCAGTTTATCTCTCGATCATTCCGCTCGAAATGCCCGAGCGGGTGTGGTACCAGCCGTATTCGTTGGGATCGGTCAGCTAGCCGGTTGTAACGGACCTGTAAGATCTGCTGTTCCGTTTCGTTGCTTTGCATTGCGTACACACACACACACACACACACATTCTGTCTCTCTCTGTTCGCGGCGCGCACGAACTTCACCTCGGCCGGACAAGTGTGCGATCCTAGAAGGATAAACGCGTACATAACCGCTGCGACTTGCTGGTGGACCGTTTTGCAGACCCATGAGAAAGACCGATGGACGCTTATACATATTAATAGGCTGCACGTATTACTCATATCGCGAGAACCGAACACACCTCTCTCTCTCTCTCCTCTCGCAGCGATGCGACCTTTCTACATTCCCCTCCCGCTCCATTTATCCCGCGAAATGTATATTTTCTTTCTCTTTGCGCCGCGGCGTGCCACGATTTCGATATCTTCGCGACGAACGTATCGCATATTTCGCGTGGAAATTTCACGTCGGCGAAACGTTTCGCACAGATGTTCGTCTTCGTTGTTGGGTTGGAAGGAAACGGCAAGGGCCCTCTCCCCCCGAAACACGACGTGCTTTGACATTCAATCAGCTTTGACATTCATTCTTCCCTCGACTTTTAATCTGCCATCTTTCTTCTTTCTTTTTTTTTTTTTTCTTTTTCTTATTTCGTCGAACCTTGCAACTCATTAGCAATTATGTACCCATAAGTAATCAATTTTTGTTACGAGAGCTCACTTGTTGTTCACTCAGGACGACGACTCTAGCGGAGCCTGATCCAAAGTTAAGCGTACAGCGAATTATCAAAAAGTTTTCACCTCAGTCAACTATGTACAAAGCCACTTATATGTATGTACGTATATATTTATTTCAGCCTCTTTGGCCTTGAAATTGACTTTGGCTTTTACATTGCACACTTCACATTTCGCATTTATCCTAAATTTTACATGTAATGTGTGCTTTCTATCCTATTTTGCACACCTATATGAAATCAGCCATGGGATCGGGATATGGGTCAATAAATCTTTCGAAAGAACAGTTTGCGCTTCGTCACCGGAGACGAGAAACGGATCATCTGCGACAACCCAAGGCTATCTTCCAGAGAGACGCCAAAACCAACTTTTATCCCCGAGAAAGGTTGTGTATCGTGTGTTTGGTGGTACAGTTTCGCTTTTAGTCATTGAAACCTGAAGAAAGTCTTCTACTGCTGACAATTACGACGACTGCGTACGAAAATTGTTAGAGAAATGGGCAGTTTTAAGGCAGAAAAGGCGTAATACTCCAACAAATGCGAAATAATTGATTATCAAACGGGTAGCCCTGACAGTTTCAGTTGTACCATTACATGCGACGGTAACCTGTAATCGACGATGAAAAATTTCTACCGTTTCGAAGGTGGCACGATTGTCTTGACTCTCTTTCTCTCTCTGCCCTTTGATACGATCGACTAAATCGTATAGTTACCCGAGAGACCGAATCGGTATTACGGATACCGGTAAAATATCGGTACTTTTAGGTATTACTGTTCGATTACGTTTGATGAAACCGAAATGGTGCGAATACCGGTACGATGC